TTGTGGTTTTAGTGGGGGGGGGGGGGCTTTATGTCAAGAGGAAATTACTCAAAGCAAGAACGCATGCAGACACTGCGTGCTTTACATAACGTTATTCATCAGAGCTTTATAAAAAAAAAAGATACAGGTAACGAAAATATTTATAAGTATCCAAGTGTCCGCTGTTGCTTATATTATTATCACACTACAATGCAAAATTACTGGTCTAGAACCGCCACTGAGCAGTGGGAGTCCCGACTCCGAGAGGTGTCATGGTGTCGGGGTTGTGACACAGTGAACCAGTTACCAAGTAAATGAACTCTGAACGGAAGCTGTGTGAGGGCTGTGATGTGGTGTGTGTGTGGGTCGGGGCTTTGACACAGTGAACCAGTAGTGAATACAAGCTGTATTTCCGTCTGTTGCCTTGATTTAAACACTGTATGATCAAATAAAACATGCTTCATTGGTTCTCTAGTCTAATTGACGTTGGACATCGTTTTAATTTAATTGTTGCTGGGAAAAACGGCTTTATAATTTAATTAATTTTATTTCTAATGGCATCCAGCTCTTCTCAATTGAAAAATATACTAGATATTACAATTATGACAACACTTAACAAAATGTCAATTCATTAGCATTATGAGCAACAATATATTTATATATTGTTAATTCATGTTTGTTTAGAACACAGTAACTTTTAATAAAAATAAATAAATAAAAATGTCTTAGTTTATTTAAGTATATTTAATGAGCCTTGCATTAAAAGCTATCTTTATACCTGAGCAACATTTTGGCTTCTCCAAAAATAAATACAATAATAATAATAAAAAAAAAAAAAATAAATAAACTTGTTCAATTTATGGGGAAATAATGACATTATTATTTATTTGTTTGTTTACATATGCATTAATATTTTTAATTATTAATATTGTCATTAATACACCAACATGTAAAGCATATATATTTTGTAATTGTTTTTAAATTTTGTCTGATTGTTCCATCTTAAATTAGGGATGCCTTCTATGTTATCGTGCTTTACGCGTTTATGACCAGCAGAGGGAGCAAATAATTAGTCAGCCCGACGATCTTTTGTTCCAGCGGGAGGCGCTGTTGTTCTCTGTGGCGGCGGCGGCGGCAGCAGCGCGGTATGGAAGCGTTCCATCGCGTTTTGTGTCCAGCGTACTCTTACATCGCTCAACAATTAACATCAAACTCATTTCAGTTATGTTAAATGATCTCTTGGGTCAAAACCGACAGTGCTACTCGCCAGTTACTTATACATAGAGCAGTTGTTTGGAGAAGAACACCAAAATAACACTTTCCCATCAGCGAGACGCAGAGTTCACCACCACAATGCGTTTACGTGTATACAACTATTTATCTGGTTTTCGAGACGAGATCAAACTGCATTTCCAAGTTTTCAGCGGCAGTGCAAGAATTAAATAGAGTAGCTACACAGAAAAAGCATCAGTTACTCAGTTACACACCTAATTAGCTCTATTATGTGGCATTAGCATCTCTGTTGGGAAGTGATAAATTAACTTCTGAATAACGTAAGGGCTGTGTTTAACATTACTCAAGAGAATAAAATTTTTTTTTTATTATTGTATATCAAGTTTTATTTTTGTTCTTCTGTTTTTTTTGAATAGCAGTATTTAGTAGTATTTCTGTCTATATATATATATATATAAAGTGCCATTGTTAAGGTTTTAGGTTTTAAAGGGGTAGTTCACCCAAAATGTCTAAATTTCTGTCATAATTTACTAAATTAGAAACTCGTGCAGTTTTGGAACAACTTGAGGGTGACAGAATTTTCATTTTAGGGTGAACTATCCCTTTTTTGCAGCTTAGTTTCAATAAATGAACTTTTTAGACTTGTATTCCTCTTAGTATGACCTCATCAAGAATTTATGGGCATAACAACAATAATATGTAAATTTTTAACAAGCTGGCATTTGTACAACTTTGCTCTTCCAGTGTAGCATAACATATTAGTCAAATAAAACAATGGTCAAGAATGTTATCATTATGAAATATTTTAATATATTTTTTTATAAAATAATGAAAACATATTTTACACATATTAAATGTACACTCATTGATACAACATCCCCAAAAGAAACTGAAAGATTTATCAGTTATCAATAGTTAATCGAGGCATTAGAGCCACTGTTTCATGCATGAAGCAAGAGACAAAAAGATGAATTACAATAAAGTTTCTTTAAAAATAAAAGAATAGGATAAAATCAGCTTTGTACAAAAGATCACGAATCAAATGAAATATAAGGGACGAACTAAAAAATACATCAACTCCGTACCCTCCAATAATGTGAGTACCAAATCTGTAGTCTTGTAATTTTCACCGTGAATTTGACTTTCTGTATTAAAAAAAAAACAAAACAAGGAAAGAATCAAAATAAATAGTCAAAATATTACACATAAAAAAGAAACCTTCAAATATTACAGCTTGACTATATAATTTGCCATGATTTAAGAATGCGCAACACAGATGCACATAGATGTTTTCACAAGTATATTACTCATATTTACCTATATTTAAAAATAAACACAATTAAAAACACCTCCACCCAACTATCAAACAGAAATCATAAGACAATCCATGGTGTAGATATGACACCCAGTAACCCAGAACTGAGTGAGACACCAAGAGTCTGCAAAACCTCCCACTTCACTGACAGAAAAACACACAGTGGGTGAAGTTCTTGTAGTCACAGCAATGAGATGAGAATCTGATAAAACAGTAAAAATGGATCTAAAACAGCGGGGCAAATGAGCTAATCATAATATGACCATTTGACTTTGCAAGCCCAGAGTGATGATGTATAAACAAAAGCTTCCAGCATGTATACAGAATTGTATTCCCATTTACTCATGTTGTTCCAAACCTGTATGACCTGCTTTCTTCTGTGGAAATTAAAAGAATACAATGGAAGTCAATGGGAACCAAAACTGTTTAGTTGCCAACGTTCTTCAAAATAGTTTCTTTTATGTTCCATAGAAGAAATAAAGACATACAGGATTGGAACAACATGAGGGTGAATAAATGACATTTTTGGGTGGACTATTCCTTTTTCCTCATAATTTATTGTGGGGAGAACATGCTATGCTAGCTATCAGCAGTTCAAAGCTGTATAAAATCACTATATGTACAATTACACTACTAAATTGCAATGAATGATGTCAGGTCTTATTTGTATCTCTCACCCCATAAATAAACAAAAACCTTTGCGTTTTACAATGCTAGTTACTGTAATAGGCATGTATATAGTTGTTTTTGTGTATCTGAGCAGAGCAGACACATTATATTTTCACTTATAGCTATGATGACTAATACAATTAAGTCAACCGACTGTTGCCGTGCTTCTGCTTTCACGTGAATAAACGGGTCAGAGACGAGTAGATCAGGTCATTGAGAGGGCAGCTTACGGGTCCTGAGAGAGGAGGAGATATTTTTTCCAGTCACATCAGGCTAAAGGGATGGAGAGAGCTGATATGAGTCACATCACTGGCCACAGCTGACCACTTTAAGGCAGACATGTACAGAGTAACATGGGGTACATGATAAACCATATTCGATCCAGCCTGACTGTTATTCCAGTTACTCTTGAAGATTTTCCAGAGCGTATAACTCTGGAAGAGTACTTTGCGGATCGTCTTAGTATGTAAACACGATGATCTGCCTAGAAGTTGAAAACAGCCATCTAATGCCAACAGTCGTTTCACCTGATAAACCTAAACTAAATACAAATAGAAAAATAGAGTCTGTATGGAACACAGCTGACCAGGGTTTCTTAAGTGTCGGCTTTGCATATACATATACATATACAGTGTGGAAATCGGACAGAACAGCCCAAGTTTACACACAGTGCTATGCCAAAACCCTACATAAGAGAGCAAGTGGCATTTCCTGTCACATGACACTGTCACTTAAAGACTGAGCGATGTCCATGCACAGAGGAAACTATCAAAGACTTGGGTGTAACATCACAGTTTTAGTAGTGGTTGCTATCATTGGTCACGTGTTTCTGTTAGAAGTGATGGCGGTTCTCCATCTCTGGAGAAGTGAAGATCTCCAGAGCCATTATTGCAGAGGTTCAGTCACTATGATCCCTATAGGAAGTCGGTTGGATGATAAATCAGCTGAGATGAGAATGGTTTGAACAATCGCCACTATAAATATGAATAGCGTTTAAAGTACCTGCACATGATTATGCGATGTAGAATTATAGTTTACAGTGACATGTTATCTGTGAGTCATTCCCAGAGCACTGCACTTTTCCTCACAATTACAGTACCGTGATTTCTCGCAACGTGTTGGGAAAGGTAGGATCTCTCACGTGGCTCAAGTTTCGATTTTCTGTTGCTTTTTTTTTTGGCTGTTGAGCTGACTGTGCAGTAAATAGGCCTCTCTGATGTTTAGCGTCTCTCAGTTTTACCGGCTCAAGCTTAGTGTCGACTCGTCGAGTACAAAAATAAATCTACAATGAGAAAATAGTTCCGAAAGTAGTTCGATCAGATGAGGAGATCGCTCGCTTCAAGGTAGGACTCGCGCGCGTGTTTGTTTGTTTGTTTGTTTAAAAATAGACATTTGTACTTCTGTACCGGCTTTAAGTTAAAGCTTTAAAGTCTCAAGTCATCAGGCAGACCCACATAAACTCTTTCGGTTTCCCTCCGTCACA